GGGAAGGCTGATCATGCCGGGAGGCTATGTGTGTGTGGGAGTTGAGTGGGGAGAAACCTGTGTCCTCAATTTGACTGTGAACATAAAACCTCTCTCAAAAATAAACCGTCTATTAAAAAACCCCACAGAGCTCCAGCCCCACGGTGCTGCTTCCTGCAGGTGGTACCAGGGAGGCGTGGGACAAGGAGTGAGTTTGCATCCCACTCTGTGGCCCCTCTCCACCCACCAGGCTGCAAAAGGAAGAAGGAAATGTTGCAGCACAGAAACTTGAAACACAGCACCCCGCCCCGCAGCGCAATTAGAAGTCTGCGTGAGCTTCGAGTTAATATCAGATTCCTGCTTGGGGGTTCAAAACAAATGAAAGAAAGAAAAAGAATCCATTTTGAAAGATTTCTATTTCAGCCTCCAGCCACCTCCAGACATTTAATGTCCTGTTCCTTCTAATCAGATTCACTGGTCCCAAGCAGTATGGACCAAAGGCTGTCCCTTCCAGGCCCTGAAAGAACCCGGGAGAAAGCCAGCTGGAGCCTAATCCCGTGAGAACACCTGCTTCAGTGCAAAGCCCTTTGCAGAACCAAAGGAAGATTAAGACCGGAGGAGATGCGCACGTGCTTCAGGCAAGACAGGCGCATGCGTGAGAGCTGCACCTGCTCGACAGGTGCACACGGGCTGCCTTCCCTGCGTGTGGCTGGAGGAGGCAAGCAGAGGAAGGCGGTGACTCCGCGCATGAATCCCATTGATCAGAAGTTAGAGGAGCACGTTCTAATTTACCGCTCCCTCCAAAAGGTGAATCTAGGCAAGTAATAAGCAATCTGGGTTCCTGGGCAGTGGCAGTGGAGACTGAAGGGGAAACACGACGCTGAGCGGGGCTGATTCTGTATCTCGTTCAAGTCCAGCTTCAAGTCCAGGAGGCGAGAACCTTCTACTACAAAATAGCAAGTCTTAAAGGCAAAATAAGAGCATCCCCTTCCACCCTACGGAATGCTTCTCTGATCTGAAAGGTAATAACCAGTCGGAAGAGCATCTGGCCCTACACGGGCGGCACAGTTTTCTAGAACCTTGAGCTCAGCTTGGACGAAATGAATATCCAAGGCTACATTAAAGAATCGGGCCCTCTCCGCGGACTGCGCCAGCTCTGAATTTGCTGCAACCCAAAGTCTACTCACTCAAGAGTTTATGAATAGGGAGCTTTCCAGGTGTCACTGCTGACAGGAGCCAGAGAAGGGGAGAATGAATGCAGAGCCCAAGGAAAGCCTGGCCCACCTTGGTTTCCAAATGTGGGCCCAGGAATGAGGCCAGTGGGAGGAGCCCCAGATCAGACACAAAGTTGGAAGTGGCAATCATCTGTAATGGCTTCAGCTAACCATGTACCATGGTCAAGTGACAAATGTGTCATTTAGTAGGTGCTGAACCAAATATAATGACTTAGATTAATACAGACAGGTTCTTCCTGGGTTATTATGCAAAGGAAGGAGAGTGTGATAACTCTAATTAATGCAAGGGCCAGTGAGTCTTTAACTTCTGGAACATTTCAGTTTTTAACGTGCTCTGTGGATGTGGGGATGCTGAGATGTGCAGAGAAGCCATTTAATTTTTACCCAGATGAAATACACACTCGCACACACACCCCAAGTTCTTCTATCCACAAAACCAGGGAGCTCAGAAAGCAAGTGGAGAAGTGAGTTTGGCTTTGAGAGCTCCCAGGCCACGGCTGCTTGTGCCAGAGTCCTATTGTGGTTTCTCATTTCTTCGGGAATGGCACCAGGACTGGTGTTCTTGGGTCGAGAGACAGCGTGCAGCTCTCGTCAGTACAGTGTGTAACCCATCAATATCCTGATTTAGTAGGATGCTACACAAGAATGCCAAGACGCTCATCTCCCAGCCCTTAGCCAACTTTCTTTGCCTTAAACGAAGGCAATTCCAAAAGAACAAGAAAACATCAGATTCGACATTTTACGGGCCTTCTGTGTGGCACACAGTAAGCAAGTCACAGACTGACTGAGCTGGAGAGAACTCTGGATAGCCCCCAAGCCACTCACCCTAGAACACAGAGAGGATCAGTAACTTGCCAAGGTCACACAGCAAGTGTGCAGCAGAGCTAGGGCAGCATCCCTGGTCTGTGGATTCCTTGGCCGAGTTGTCAAGCACATTTGGCTGAAAACCTCTGAACAAGTACTTTATTATTACTAGTCTGGCTCCTGTTCATTCAACATAGACTTTTCAAAAAATCAAACATTTCAATCTAATTGCAAATAGTAAATGACTTGCCTTATCTGGACCTGTCACTGCTGATTTGGCAAATGGACCTTAAAAGAGGAACGGAAGCCCCACTGGAGGTAGGAAAAAAATCCTCAGTAAACTGCTTTGAGGAACAATGGATGCTCCATTTGTCAGAAAAAGAAGTGGAAAGAACTGTGTTTGCTTAATCCCTTCTTGAAGAAGCTTGTGACCCTCTCTGAGTTGTCAACTCTCAAGTAGTTTAACTCCTAACATTTATGTTGATTTTTTATTTTCATTTTTTTTTTCATGTCACACACACAGACATACAGTTAACTCCTCCTTTTGGGAAGCTCAGAGGATCTCTTCCCCTCTTTCTATCACAGAAGAAAAAGAAACATTTGAAGACTGAAAAGGCTCCTACGAAACACAATGTAGTAAAAAGTCAGGAGCAGACAAACCAGTGAAAATTCCAAGACAGATGATTCCAGGTAAGAGCCATGCACCTGTACCACTGAACCCCTGATGGCGGACCTCCAGCACGGTGGCTTGCAGGGACAGCTCACAGGGAGCTCCCAAGCAGGGGCGCTTGGTGCCTGGTGGGGGAGCCTGGTGCCTGGTGGGGGAGCCGGGCCTGTCCAGACTTGCAGCTAAGGGACTTTACCCTCCTAATTTTGGAAATGCATCAACAAACAGCTCTGCAGGTGTTCTTTTAACTGTCCTGAAACCATCTGCACACCATGCAACCCTGCTTTGGCCTCCTCTGTTTTGAATTCCACCCACCAAAAAGTCTGTCCCCTTGTCCCTCTGGAGTTAATATGACAAAGCAGCATCTTGACTGCTGCTTCCTAAGGGTCCAGAGGGGTCCACTGCAGGCAGATTATGTGTCTGACATCGGCCAGAAGAAGGGCAAGCCTGCTTAGGGGCCGCCTTGCTCAGCTCACACAGGTTCCTGTGACACAGGTGCCACACTTCAAGGACAGTTCTGCTCCTATTATGCGCTCCCAGGGTGACAGCAGGTACTCTCTCTGGGCTTCAAAAACTATGCCTGGAGAGCTGAGGTTTTGCTGTAAAAGCAACAAAAGTAAAGAGCCAAGGCCTGCTGTTGCCCTCATCACAGCTCCACCACCACAGTGTAGCTGAGAGACGTCCGGAGAAGGGCCCCAGGGTCATCAAAGAAATGCCTGGAAACTGAAATTCACAGCCAAGCAGTGAGGCCCACTGGGTCTGGGGTGCAAACTGAAGGGAGAGACAGTGTTCTTACTATTCAGGGGGACCGATGGCCTTTCCAAAGTCTATCACCTTGTGATGATTAAGTTAGTCCAGTCTCCTTAAATTGCCTCTAAAATTGAATCCACGTTTATAAATGACCATTTGGATCAAGTCTCTTTAGAGCACAAATTTATCATCTCGGAACTCTGACCTTTCAGGGCCAAGGCTAATGGACTATTTCTTTATAACTCTATAGAGTGCTAGATCAAGGGAAAGATGGATGTGGGGGGAGGAGCCAGGGACGACGGTTGCATGGAAACCCACAAAGAGCTTTGCTGGCTCTACTCTGGAACAATCTACGCTGATCTGCCTTTCCCCAGAAACTGCAAAGAAGTTTCTAAAAGCGCTGGGAGCCTGCTGGGGGTCCATGGGCTGGAAGGCAAAAGAGGAAGCCAAGGGCAAAACAGATCCTGGTGTCCCAGGTACAGTCAGTGGGAGTCACCTGGCCACAGGTCACTGGACAGTCCCTGGACAGTCAGCACCCAGGAAGTAGCCCTGGAGCTCTGCTGCCTGGAGTTCCCAGCAGCCAGCAGGCATGGGCACCTGTGCATGGGGGATCAGGAGGGTATGGCATGGGGAAGAAAGGGGGCCACAGGCCAGCCCAAACCCTTGAAGCATTTCTCTGCAGAAGCAAAGACTGTTCACTTCTTGCCCACAGAGGGATGGGGTGAGGGCCAAAGGCTTTCAAGGGACCCTTGAATTCACCAGGGGACCAAACAGGCTCCATCTCACACTCCAACTGCTTTTCAATTGCCCTGGGCCACGAGATCAGCAAACACACTCCTTTAACAGCATGATTAAATCCCTGGAAGCTGGTTGTCAGGAGGTTATTTTTCTCAATTAACAGTCACAAAAAGCACACACACTCTCCTGGGGATAGGGGACTTGTTTTTGACATTCAGGCAGTAGATGCATTCTCAACAAGGTTAGGGACCACTTATCTGGTCCAGTTGCCATATTTTCTAGGTGCAGGACCAAAGGTTCTAGGAGGGCGATCAACCTGTTCCAGGATCTCAGACTGCCCCAAACAGCAGGGTCAGGCCAAAGCTCTGTGGGTCACCCCAACAGTCTCCTCCAGCCACTGATGAACTAACAAAACTTTCAGAGCAGGATCATGACCACAGCAGTAGCAGCAGCGCAGACCACCTACTGATTACTAACTATGCCAAGCAGAGATTTTATTTATTTATTTATTTATTTATTTTTGAATGCTCATAAGAATCCAAAGAGCCTTTCACATTTTGTGATCATACATTTGCTTGAGTATTTGATACTGTCCTATCTTCTGCAATAGCAGGTAAACCCCACGAAGGCAAGGCATCACCATATGCCCAGGGACTGACAGCTCTCTGTTCCACAAACTAGATGCTCCTGCTTTAAAGTTAGGAAAAATGAAGCCCAGCCAGGTCAAGCGATTTGCCCAAGAACATACAGCATGGAGCTACTGAAGGAGCTGCCCCACTGTATTGCAGATACTTTCCCCCTTATTCTTCCCGAAACCACAGCCCTACCTTGACTGCCTCTGCGTGGGTCACCCGGGCTAGGGATTTATCGTTGACGCGCAGAATCTGGTCCCCGACCCGCAGCCCTTCTTTCTCAGCCAGGGAACCAGGCTCCACCAAGGAAACGTAGATACCCACGCCGTGTTCTGAGCCCCCTCGGATACTGAAGCCCAAGCCTTCGTGGGCCTTAGCGCGCCTTAGGCTGACCAGGCGCACCTCCCCAGGCCCTGCGCCGTCGGGGCCGCCCCAAGCAGATTGCCTGTAGGGGGTGGTGGCAGGCAGGTAGAGACCCTCAGCCGTGTACTGGTCGAAGAGCAGCTGGTCTGAGCGCGGGATGACCAGACGCAGCATGGGCAGCAGGCGCCGCTTCACCGGGCTGTCCAGCAGGACGCGCAAGGTGCGCACCAGGTCGAAGACGTTGCGGCGCGCGTGGTATGCGTTTAGGCAGTGCGTGAACTGCTCCCGCTCCGCCTCGCTCAGCAGCGCCGTCAGCGCCTGGTGCAGCTGGCGCA